CCCCCCCCCTCTCCCTCTCTCTCCCCCCTCCTCTCTCTCTCTCTCCCCCTCTCTCTCTCTCTCCCCCCCCCTCCTCTCTCTCCCCCCCTCTCTCTCTCTCTCTCCCCCTCTCTCTGCCCCTCTCCCCCCCTCGTCTCTCTCCCCCCCCTCCTTCTCTCTCTCTCTCTCCCCCCCCCCTCTCTCTCTCTCTCCCCCCCCTCTCTCTCTCCCCTCTCTCCCCCCCCCTCTCTCTCTTCTCCCCCCCCCCCCCTCTCTCTCTCCCCCCCTCTCTCTCTCTCTCTCTCTCCCCTCTCTCCCCCCCCCCTCTCTCTCTCTCTCCCCCTCTCTCTCTCTCTCCCCCCTCTCTCTCTCTCTCTCTCTCTCTCCCCCCCTCTCTCTCTCTCTCTCTCTCCCCCCCCCCTCTCTCTCTCTCTCCCCCCCTCTCTCTCTCTCTCCCCCCTCCCCCTCTCTCTCCCCCCTTCCCCCTCTCTCTCTCCCTCCCCCTCTCTCTCTCCCCCTCCCCCCCTCTCTCTCTCCCTTCTCTTACTCTCTTCCTCCCTCCCTCTATTCCTCTCTCCTTCCCTCCCTCCCTCTCTTCCTCGCTCTCTTCCTCCCTCACATAGACAGCTCCATAATTATTTGTAACAAAATGTCCATGTTATCAAGCTAAGTATTTATGCCCAAATGATTTTTTTGTCAATTGCAAAGTCATTCAAAAGTTGTGATTTCTGGACTGTGAAACTGCTCAGGAGACATGAGAGTATGGCAACTTTGCAGTAAAGTGTTGCCACATCACTACTTGTTTCTTATGCAATTAATGCCAGACATAACTATCACTTGTGTCTGTCCTAGAACAGCAATAATGAAAATTATGATAATGATAATTATTATCATTATCATTACAGCAATAAAAAATCTAGCACTTGCCATCTAATCATCTCCCCCTGCCCTTGCTGCCTCCCTCTTCCCAATGCCCCTTCACCTGCCCCCTCGTCTCTATTTTAGTTTGAATAAGACGAATACTGCAACATCACAGAAACGATTGCTATATAAATCAAGAGGGCATCAATATATATATATATATATATATATATATATATATATATATATATATATATATATATATATATATATATATATATATATATATATATATATATAAATCAAGAGAACATCTATAATCCGCTACTGCAAAAAGATATATAGAGCTCACAACAGCATCTAGTAGTTGAGATGGTAAGTAATCTGGGTCCCCCTGAGAGTCCTCCAAAAATGCCTGTGTCTCTGGGCCCAACTCCTGCAAGGCTGGCACAGGGAGTGCACCCACTGTCTTGTTGCTTCTGGTAGATCTTCTTCCTAACTGTGGGCTCGGGGTCTTCCCACATTCCTGGTCATCTGAACAGCTTTCAGGTTGATGGCCTGGGATAATGTCATCATCATTTTCTTCCAAATTATCTCCTGAAAGAAGGAAGAAAATATTAAAAAATTAATGCAGTCTAAATCAATTATGGAATATGCTTAGCATAATGAGTACGTTTTGTTAATTCTTATCCAAAACACTGTGAATACTTCAAAGTTTACACTAAAGAAATATCATTCTAATGTCAACCTTCTAAAAATGCAGTTATCCTCATAACTGTAAATATCTTCCACAAGAGAGAACCACTCTTTTTTTACACTGCATACACAGGAAAAGGAAGTAAAGTATGCTGGAGAACTATGCCCTAAGAGAGGATAAATACCTGGAAGCTCAGGGTTTTGTATGGTGAGAGGATCACAATCTTGGAGCAAACTAAAGCTACCGCAACTTGATTGTGAACCAGCTGGACTTCCTGAGAAAAAGTCTGGACTGGGTTCTACCACACTGTTTTCACAGGATTCTTCTATCATATTTTTTACTGTTGAAAATTCATCTTTATCATCATTTTGTGCATTCACAGTGCTAGCTGTCAGAGGAGGTTCTACTGAATTTACCAAGGCATGTTTGACTTTATCATTATTATTTTCAAGAATTTCACCACAAGAAACCGTACTATCATTTACACAATTTTCTTTAGATTTCTCTTCTTCACCAAGAACTTCATCATTAGTTATCACACCATCTGTTAATGTGTTGGAGTTAAACAGAGAAAATAACTTCTTGTTTTTGCCTGTATGCTTTTCTCTCTCAGTTCCATTATTTCTACTTTTGAGCTCATCATCCTCACTCATGCTTTTAGGAAGCAACCTGCTTTCTTCTGCATTAAGAGCCATATTTCCTTCTCCAGGTTTCATTGTCACTTCCTCTGATTGCTCCTTCTTTGACTCCTTTGCTCTCTTTGCATTCGCTCTTCTCTTCTTGACCTCAGCAATTAACTTGGCAAAATGGTCTTCATTTTTTTTTACTGAAAAAAGAGAGGAAAAGTAAAAAAAGGAGAGTCAAACACTAGCATATGCCAAACACATATATATATATACTGTACTTATAGCTGTTGTGTGTGTCCTTGTTCAAAGTACCTAGTAAGGCATTTTATGAACTGCTTGCTATACTATTTATGCTATCTTTTAATATTCTAAAAAAAATTGTCATTAATAAATACAGTACTTATAAAAAACAAAACAAATATTATATAACCTGCTAAAAAGATGTATAATACACAATCCATTCCACATGCATGTACTTTAGAAGAAATAATCAGTCCCTTAAATACAAATTATCTATGAAACACACTTATATTTGCATATTTGATAACAAAGTTGGTAATCTAAAGTGTAAAGTAATAATATTTCATCCATCAGCGAGACAAGAGTTTTACAAACTGATAATAGAGATTGGTATAGATTTCCAATTTATCATGATTTTTTTATCAAACTGAACTGGTCTACTTTCATTTCTGAAGCAAAGTAAGATACAAGGTTATCCAGTAAATCTTTTGAGTCTATCAAAATTTAAGACCTGCATTTCTTCTAAGAATGCCACCCTGTAGAATATTGTATGTGAATGTTAACAATGTTTTCATGGTAATAAATACACCCATCAGACAAAAAAACTTCCATTTCCTAGAATAAAACGAATACATGTTCTCTCTGTTATTCTTGCTCTTACTATTACTCTTGCTCACTTTTCCTCCTTCCCTCCCTTTCCCTCCCTCAGACCTATCCCTCTCACTCTGTTTCCCTTTTTTTGCTCTCAGATTCATCTTTGAATAGATTATGAGATCTTGTCAAATGTAGCACAACTAATAACACATTTTAATAAACAAAATTCTGTAATTATTTAAACATACAGTGAAATTGACAATGGTAAGTGCCTTTTATTCAGCACCTTAAATTCATCTAAAGTTAAAATAAGTCAAAGTCTACAACATTACCTGCAAGTATCCAGAAATTTGGGGTCAGAAACCTGAAAATCAATCCCCATCATACAACCAAATGAAAAAAGGAGTTGACTGTTATGCAGAGTATATTAAAGACTAGCCTTTCATTCTGCCAGCCTTGGGTTTCCTTTTGAATTTATGTCCAATAGTATGATATAGTTCCACATGGGCTGCTTAACCCCATGTAATCAGAAAAATGTAGTGTTCCTAGTAATATTGTTTTGTGAAATGTCTCTGCACATAGATGACTACACATAAATGGCAATTAGGAGTCAATTAGTAGACATTGTGATTTCACCTGAATTTATCTTTCCTTGCAGGAAAAAGGATTTTCTTTACAAACACTATCAATGTTAATATTATGATTATTATAATTATTATAATGTTATTGACATTACTAACAGCAATACAAGATAACAGAAAATATTTCCAAAAATCAAGGAAAAGGGTAAACAGGTAAGACAGGTAGTACTAGTAATTAGTTCATTGGTGACTACTTGTGGAGCCATCTATGTGTAAAGAGAAATAATAACCTAAACCCACGGTGGGCATGGAATATATGTACACACCATCCATGGCAAGATTGGGTTACTCAAGACACCTTCTCTAGGTAATAAGTGAGAAGGTGTTAACTGTTCTTGACAAACAATCTTGATAATTTTCCTTTGCCCTGACAAAAATATATATTAAAGTGTTTGCAAGATAAAAAGGAGGCATTACAGTTTATCAAATGTATGAGTAGATATTAAACGTCTGTTATAGTCCATTTTAGTAATATTTAATACAGGTTAGAACATGCAGGTGAGCATAAACTAAACTAATCCTTTTACTACACAAACTGTAGTGGAAAGGTATCACAACTTGATATCTGTACAAACGCATTCACACAAATGAATAGAGAATTTCAACTTACAATAATCATTTTGTTCTTTCTCGATGATCTCTGGTGCTGTTTTTCTATCATAAGTAAAAATCTGTAAAGAAAAAGAAGGATACCTCTGACAAATACATTCTGTGTAAATGTACTTCAGAAATTATATTAATTTCAACACAAAGTGTTTTCACCACCAGCAAGTATAAGGAAAATTAGTTCTCAGCAGTATAATATAAATCTTTAAAACTACATTTGCTAAACATTGTTTTCAAAGAAATAGAAAAACATGCCACAGAAAATGGCCTTTTCAGATGCTTGATTATGATTTCTGAAACATCACCAGGTACATTTTTCTTCCACATTGGTTGAGAACAATGCACTTACTAACTAAAATGGAACTTACATGTTATGAAATATTAAATATCTAACAGGACTTTAAGCTTAACCTTAAGTAATTTTTTCTTCTTGTGTTCTGGAGTGCAATTCATAGTCTTTTTTAACAACTTATTTTACTTTTTGGGTGCTGTCTATGTGGATTCCAAAACTATCATCATTATAACAAAACTAATCCATTTTCGGATAGCCCTTCAGGTGGTGTCTAATCATGCAATGGCAAACTGAACCCAAATGCTAGGTAGCAAGGATCTATGCCACACATGGTTGAGCCTGCTCTCTACTCTATGTACAAAACAACTGTTTGCTTCTTTGACCCTGCCAGCAGGCATTTAGGGAATACAGCCCCTCAATTGCAGGTTTAAATTTTTCTTTTTTCTTTTTTTTTACCTTGTTACTATAAAAGTGCATAAAGTTGGGTAAATGCATTTCCCTCACCTCTAAATCTTTCCTCTGGTACATGGTTGATGGTTAATGGTTAAAACAAATAAATGTGCTAGACCTCAGAGGTCATATAGCAATATGGTAAAGTATTGTGGCAAAAAGGGTAAAAATAAGTCAATGATAGGAAAAAATGTATTAGATGTTGAAAGTTGTAGAGTGCTATAGGATAGTATGGCAGTGAAAAGGGTAAAGAGGAGAGAGCAAACATAGTATGGCAGGAATTTGTAAAAGAGGAAGGGGTTACGGACATAGGGTGATTATAAATGTGCCTGAGGAAGGGAGAGTACACTGTATGAACAAAACAGCCAAAGAGCCATTATGAAACAATTAACCCTTTGGACCCTGATGACAGTGTGATCAGGTCAAGGAAAAACTTTGACAGCTGCCCGGGTGATGTGAAGATGCCGTCAACTGGGCAAATAGACCGCAGCCCAGGTGACGTGAACAAACCGTCAAGAGCGAAAGCCAGGGTGTCGGAAAAAACTCATCATGAGCGCACAAGCCTCTTGGAGTGTGATGTAACTCATTTGGCACTTAGAAGGGGGCTTTAGCACTTTTCCATCAATAAACAAATATGGAATGTAACATACATTGCTTGGAAGAGTGTCAGCTCTTGGGAGGATGCCATTTCCATGCTGTCCACTGTATTCCTGGCTGCTGTGACCGGCGTTGCAGGTTGTATTACGTAAAATTTAAAATTACAAAAAAATGAGATATGGAACACAAAGTACCAAATGTTCCATTTTTTTTTTTTTTCTTGCACTGAGTTATTTACTACATAAAGAGATGATATGGAGTCTGTGCAAGGAAGTAATTACCATCTGGATAAAGCAAATCCAAAGACAAATATGGACATTGGAAAATGACGATAAAGATAAAAAAAGTTTACACAAAATAACTTTTCAAAGGGGAGGCACAGAGTCTTATCACCACTCATGGGTGTTCATGCACGCCCGGCCTTCGCAACATACATATGGAATGCTGGCCACTTACGTAACCCATTGCCCGGGGTTTTCAGCTCCATGATTTGTCATGCAACTGGATCCAAGGGGTTCATAGGTAATATGGGCAGAAATGATAGCTGTAGTAGGATAATAATCCAAGAAATGAGATAATGGAAACAGGGGAAGGTGGTGAAGTATCAGGAAGAATGTCAGGAGGGGAAGGTGGTGAAGTATCAGGAAGAATGTCAGGAGGGGAAGGTGGTGAAGTATCAGGAAGAATGTCAGGAGGGGAAGGATATGGAGGACACTGTTACGACAGACATAAGGGAGTCACGTGAGCAGCCAGGAGGGAGCAGTAAGGATAAAAGGGAAAGAAGAGGAATGGTGCACATGGAGGAGAGGATGGGCTGAGTAGGGAGAGAGCAGGAGGAACTTGATTAGGAGGATGGATATCAGCAAATACTTTGAATGTAGACGAAATAGGAATTGAGAGATTAGAGGGCAGATGAGGGAGCAGAGTACTCTCTTGGGTCATGTTTAGTAAGTTTGGAATGTCTTCAAGAGTTTTTGGAAAGGACTTGAGTGGGGGAGTTCTGAGAAACAAAGATTTTCTTGTGAGGAGAAGAGGGGAAGAGGTGGCTGTAGGTCAGAATGTGGTAGGACAAGATGGATTGGAATGTTTAGATTGCCTGGTGTGACAGATAAAGTGAGGAAGAGGGTTAGGAATAGAAGTGGTAGAGATTATAGTATCTGGATTTAAACTGGAAAAGGAATTTGACTTAGGGAGAGAGGTAGGATGGTTCAGGGTAGAGGAAAGAGATACTGAGACATCTTGAGAAAATGGGAGGGGAGCAGAGCAAAAGACAGTTTTGGAATAGGAGAGAGAAAAACCTTGTCGGCCTCTCTCAGAGCGAGATCTAGATTGAATATGAGAATTGCTACCTCACATTCCATCTTGTAGACAGGGCAGCTCCTATAAAATACATTAAGGGAGTCACCACAATTGGCACATGTGTGTGACTGGTCAGAGCAATTTGAAGTTTGGCTGGGTGGCCAAAACATCAACAATTATGACATTGACTAGGAAGGAGTCAATATGATTGGATAAGGCAGGACACTCCACTAATATACACTTCATGGGGGAGGTCATGTCTATGGAAGCTGATCTTGGCAATATTGGTGTAAGACTTATGCTGGGAGAAATAGTGTAGCACTGTTCTACCATTGCATGTCAACAAGGCAGGTGAGCAGGTAATTTTCACAATCTGACCAGTTCTTGTCGTAGACAGGATAATCAGTCAGGAAGATGGAAACAGTTTCAGTACAAGTATTAAGGGAGGAGTACAGCTTGCCAGGAAAACATTTGCCAGTGAGGTTAGTCAGGGTAGACAGAGTATATGATGGAATGACTGCAAAAGGATATTTGCCTACTTATTATTGGAGGCATTGTTTGTTGGAAGAGAAGGGTATTATAAGACTAAGGGGCTATAGTGGGAATCATAAAGAATCAATCCCACTTGGCTGAGCCAAAAAAGAGTACTCAAAAAGGTTGCAGAAGCAGTAAAAGGATGAGGGCTTGAGGAAGATGGGGTGGAGTACAGCAAAATAGTACTGTGGGGAGGAGGACAACAAGGATGAAGACTGGTAACAAGGGGTGAGGGACCAGAAAATGAAGAAGACTGTACAGTAGAAGATGGAGTAGAGGATGTTGGGAGAGTGGAAGGTGTGTATTCTGAAGGTTGAGTAATGACCTGGTGGATGATTCAGGATGGATAGAGTTGACAGCAAACATCAAGGAGGGGGTATGAGTGGTCTGAGCTATGGTCAAAGGAGAGGCAGTTGCAGCAAAACCAGAGAAATCAAATCTAGATATGCTAATTACCCCTGTATGGGTAAAAAATCTTCATCATTGGCCATGGTGAGCCTGAAATAAGTGGGGAAAAGAAACAGTCTACCCCACAGCATTCAGGTATTTTTCAAGCCAGCCAAGTGATGCCCAATAATGCAGACAGATCTTGAAAATTCATCAATCAAATATTTTTTTTTCTAATAAAACTATCACCAAATCTCCATAAAATTTGCTTGACATATAGGTAATATTTTAAGTCTATACATACTTTTTTCATCTGATGTAGTTCCTTTTAACCCCCATTCTTTAGGATCAGAGATACTGAAAAAATTCAAACAATTTTGCTGTTTAAAAACAATCATTTGGCTTACTTAAATTTACTTCAAAATTAATTTTTTTCTGAAAAAATACAGCAAATGTCAGCAAAATTGTTATGGCATGTTGTTAGGAGTCCATTCAAATATAAGTATATTCTTATTCTGCTCCTCTTATTTCAGGTAAACTGAGTAATTTCAAACACCCTCCTTTAGAGTGGCTATGTTTGGACTGTTTTGGGCAATTATGAAATGTTTAAGGGCATCTTTGATGTGTATTGGATTGACTTTGGGATGTAGTGCATCTATTCTAACATAAATGATGTATAAAGGCAATTTCCAGTTGAATAAAGGGTGACAGACATTAAAAGGACTGTGGGAGATCAGTCATTTCATGGGCCATAGTACATCCCCATTTCCCCCTACATAATAATATGATTTTGTGTAGGTACCTAAGGAGACGTGTAAACCATTTTAAAATTGTATCAGAGAACACCCAACCTACTATTAGAAAATGAGTAAAATGACCTAAGTTTACACTTTCAAAAGGCTCACCTTTTGTTTCATTTGTGAACTGATTTTTATTGTACATCTTCATAAATAATAATGCTGATGATATAATCAATAATAACACTATTAATAATCATTAATATTAATAATAATTTCAAACATTTATAATAATTAACATCAATATCAGTAGTATCTCAATGTCATTCAATGTCAATTCTAGTTTGTAACATGATTCTCAACCAGAATGTGAAAAAACAGTTATCAGGTATTGCTACATAACTAAAAAATTAATTTGTGTATGGTAGCTTGAAACAAAGACAAAGACGATTAATGAAAATCATACCATTGAATACTTTTACAAAATGTCCAAGTATAATGTTCTCAATGTATTGACACTTACACTGCGAGAATTTGCCACCTTTGCTTCATCCCGTTCCTCCCGTTCTATTTGCCGTATCAGCTGAGATACAGGGCGAGGCTCAGCAGTATCACACTCAGCATTATAGAGAGTTGTGTACCTATCAAATATATTTTTTTCTGTCAGTAATGTTTCTCAAGAAAATGTACTAGATATCTATGTTACTATATTACTATATGCTGGTATTCAAATTATATGAATTTACCATAAACATCAGAACTGAAAAGACTTCTGAACATTTACTTATAAATATTTTTGAAAAAAATGTAAAAACAAAAAATCTTAAAAGTAATTTTCCAATTATTTAAACATGCCAGCCAACCTGCGATGTCTGTTAACAAGTAATGGCTTGTCTCCTTGCACAGAGAGGCCTATATCCTTCAACTTCTGTCTCAGTTGCTTTTCTGACAGCAAAGAATACACAAGTTTAGGCAATGGCTTTCGCTTGGGACTGTAGATGACGGGGCTGTAAGGACAAAGAAAGAAGATTAATACCTAAGTTAAACAAACATATATATGCAAAGGTTTTACAGGCTTTGTATATGTGCTCAGCTGGTTGGTTAAGGTAACTATTCTTACATTTCTTCCTCATTTCCTGTCTCCATCCGTTTCAGACAAGCATCCAAGTGTAGATTTATGTTTCTTTCTGGCACTTCTACACAACACACTGGGCAACTGACTCTGGTTTCATCCTGCCCTCCACTCACTATTGAACTGAAAAATAAACATGACTGTAAACAAATTTAATCACTGAATCAGAGTAAATTCAATGAAAAGTCAACAATATGGTTAACAGTATGGACAACAGACTACATATTCTCACAAGAGTATTTTGCTGTAGTGCAATAGGAAACTTAATCAAATGCTTCTTTAAATCATCTTTGTAACTCTGGACAGGCCATTAAAATACATTTTACTTACATATCATTACGAATGGAAAAGTGCCCAGAGGCAGTCTGGCGTGTACTCTGTGCTGATGATGCTGGAGATGATAACCGGGAATTAAAAATACTAGCAGATGGTCCAGAAGCACATTTAGGGGTACTACTTGTGCTAGAGAAACCTGAAGTGGATGGTTCTGCCTGGCTTCCTCTCAAGTGTGTACTGTTGCTACTTGATAATAGAGACTTTCCTAAGTTTCTTTTAGGGGTATCCATAAGAGTTTTACCAATCCTGCAATATCATTCAAGACTAACATGAGCATTGTACAAACATAACAAAATTTATATTGAGATTAAGCAAGCTGACTGATGAAGTTCTATTACTATCAATTTCCTTATTTTACAAATATATCTCTCATACTATGGATCAGTAGGCTACTGATAAAAATTTTAGGACTATACATCCATGTCTTGTCTTTTTCAAGGTCACAATCAAAAACCAAAAAATGAAAACATTGGCATTCACATTAGAAGGGCAAAATGACCAATTAATTGGGTCTTCATGCTTCACAGCCACTGCATGGCCCAAGATATAGGTGCTGGGCTTACTTGAACGGCCACTCTCATGGGTGTGCAACTTGTATGTTGCAGGGGGTCAGTAATTGCATTTAGTTTACAGGGAATGTTCTCGAAACACATAATAAATAAATAAATAAAAATTTTAAAAATAAATAGATAAATAAAAATCACAAAAATAAATAAATAGAAAACAAATAAATATATAAATAAATAAAAATCTGAGATTCTTCATACCACAGGATCAAAACAGAAATTACCCAAATGAAAATAGTCACTATCATCTTCATCTGGGAGACATTCTGCATGTATGCAATATGTGCAGAAAGCCTCAAATTCATGTGGAAATGGAGCAGGGGTGGTAGTGTTGGCCTTGTGACTTGTAAAGGTGTATCTCTGGCTACAATATTAGGAAGCCATGGGGTGAGGTCCCTTTGGTGCCAAGGATTTACATATCTTACACTTTTAATTACTCCTTGTGAGTTTTTGGTTTCTTGAGTGACAACAGAGTATGTCATCTTTTTCCTCAACTTTCGAACAACACAAATCTTTGGTTTGGTATTCTAATTGTTGTTTGAAATAAACAATATTCATATTAATTTTCTATTTGCTTATCTGTTACAACCAAAATCATTATTAGACAAACTACATCCTCCCACTTTGAATCACTTCAATATCTGAATTAGTAAGGAAGTTATGGTTCTTTGAATATGTGGGCCTCATATCCAAGAAATTAGATCATTTTTTTTAAGTACCTCCTCTCTGGAACAGTCCCCATAATCAATGTACCTTGGTGATGAAATTAATTCTTTCACTGATGTTTTAGGTGAACCAGATGAATCTTCTTGACATTTTGATGAAGTACTTGTGGTATTAATATCCTTATCAGCTGGTTCATGGTTTTCTAACTCCTTGCTTTCTAAATAGCTGGTAATGCTATTTCCCTTGGAGGTCTGGCACAGCTTGGCAACCTTATCCCTGTAAATATTTGCTTACAATAGCTATCTGGTAAAGTAAATCAAAATCACTGAACACCATTTTCATATGTGATAAAAGTGCATACCTTTTTATCATTTCATGTATGCATTTGTAAATATGTAAAATCTCACCAAAGCCATATATTACTAAAAATATTCTGTTGTCTTGAATCTATATTCTTTAAAATATGTCCAAAACAACAAGCAATTACTGAAAATGTTTGAACATACCTTAAATTTGGAAAAAGTCCAAGAATTTCATCAAGAAGTCTGTTGTTGCGGAGTTGCTGACTAGTAGTTTCACTGAAGCAAGCAGGACATTGTGTTTTGTAGTCTAGGTACTGACGAATACACAGGGAACAGTCTGAAAAACAGCAATAGACTAGCACAAAAATCCAACTTTATAGAATAAAATATCTGTTGTCTAGGCTCATAGAATCTACATAGTTAGTATTATCAGAATGCAAAACTGCATTGTAAAATATACTGTTTGATATGTTAAAGGCCATGCACTGTATCCTGGAAAGAGGGTTTCATCAAAGATTGTAAATATTGGAAAAGGCAGTAATCTGCAGTGTGACTTGCCTATTACTAATGAAAATGCTTATAATTTGCCTCCAGGGTGATTTATGATCGTTGCAGCCATTTCTACATACTGATACATAATTTTTTTCTAGCCTAAAAGCCGAGAGTAATCTTTGATTTTTTCCCTAATGTACTAAAATTTTCACAAAATAATCATATAAAGTACCAAATCACAGTTAACTGTGGAGGAACTAAGCAAGAGTGTGCAGTATACCTTTTTCTGAAAATCTTAACTCATTGCTGCCAGGAACATGTAATATTCACTGAAGTAGTTCTGTTAAATATATTCAAACATAGATGACCTACAAGTAGACAATCAGTAGACCTATGAGACCTCTTCTTTCCTTTAGTTTTCAGATTTTTTTTTTTCAGCATTATCAATATCAAAGAAATAATTGTTGAACTTGACATTACTAGTGTTACGAACAATACCAAGAGCAATATAAGATAAAAAAGAATATTTCAAAATCAAGGAAAATGGTAAACGGGTAAGATGGGTATTATTTATAAGTGACTCCTTGGTGACTGAACACTTGTGGAGCCATCTATGTATAAATATAATTATGAAACTAAACTCACATTGGGCATGGTGTGTATATGTACATGCTAATCACTACAGGCAATGAGTTAGCACTAGGGAGGGATTCAGTGCCCACAAAAAGCCTTGAGCACAGCCCTGAATATATCAATACTTTGTAAATCTACCAAATATTTCAAATAAGAAAACTTACAGTTATGGGAGCAAGCTGTAACCATCGATGTAGACATGAAGTCGTAACAGATTCCACATCGAAGAAGCTCATCCAACCTCTGCATACATCAGATAGATTTAACTAATGCATTTGATTATTATCATCCTTATAAAGAATAACATCAAAATAAAAATAAACTCAAAATTGTTACCAAGAGCTCCATCTGTGATAATGATAAAAGGGGTGGCTGATTTCAAAAATGATTTCTTATGCTAAAGCAGTATTGAAACTGACATTTGTGCTTCTAGCAATTCAAACATGCTTACAAATGATGAAGTAGATATAAAAAAATAGAAGAGCAAATATCTAATTCACCATGAAGTCTGAAGGGGTTACATTTTTACAACTGAATATACTTCAATGTTGGCATGTAAGCACTTGGTCCCCTTTAAGATATTTGTCTAAGATGAGGAGGAGTAAGTGCTTGGTTGTGGCATTCTGGAAATCTGATAATTGTTTGTATTTTATAAATTTACTACAAATTCTTCTTACTACATAAAATGCTATAATAAGGAAAAAAGCCTCTGACTGAATGAAATACTAGTACCTTAAGCTCTGGAATGTTGGCTGGCCAAGGAAGAGACATATCTGCAGCCATGACTACCTGATGTTAGCGTAATCTGAAAGACAAAAGCAAAGTGTTCTACTTCAACTTAGATACACATAATCTATAATCATGCTCTTCTGCCACAAATTTCCATGCCTTAGGTGGTCAAGCAAAGACAATCAAACCACCACCACACATAGAAAGAGCTTGTAGGCCTCCCTGGAAATCTATCATCAAATAAGGAACCAATCCAGGTTTTATCTTGCCACAATATATTTGGAATGAATAAATGACTTTCAATACTTTACACTCTAATCTTCAACCCTTCCCTTGGGCAGTGCCTGAAGGGCACATCAGTGACATCAATTTAGATTTTGATTAAAGTTTGTGAGGTAGGGCTGGTGACTTAATCTCTGATGAGTGCAGCCTTAGGGAACATTGTCTCAAAATTGTTGGGCACCATACTGTGTGTACAGTATGATCCAGTAAACCTAAATGGCTGGCTGTTGAAAGTAGAATTGCATTCACTCTTTTATATTCATATTCAATATATGAGAAAAAGCCACATTTATGGACCATCACCTACCAGTAAAACCACAAACATGGTCAGTTGGGTCAAGAGGATTAATAATCATTGTACATATAGCAAGGCCTGCTCCAGTCAGTAGTTTCATATCCATACAGTTCTGACTCTAACTTGGTTTTCTTATCACAGTTATTTAGGTTAAAATGTCACAATTCAACCTCTAAAATTTAAGCTGTCTTGACAGAGCATATTGGTTAAATCCTCTTACAGTCTTATTACCTCAGTAGAGCATCCTTTTAAAAACTTGTGGGTTGTTTTCCCATCTTTATTCCAGTGAATAGGATGCAGTGAGGGTAAGCATTCTTGGTTATGCGTGGTATCCTTCTTCAAGGTCCGCTCAATCTCTATACCCTGCTGGGACTTGTGTATGCCTGGGTGGCTTCACCTACTAGCCAGTTCTATCTCTATACCCTCTCCAAGCTATCACAATCACTGCACCCATCAATCCACCCCTGCCCTTTCCCCTAGGATCCTCTCCTCTCACTTTAAACAGCTACTTGCAACATTAATAATTTTTCCCCTGCATCTAACACATTGGATATGGGTGACATGGGAGATATTGCCATGAAAAAAATTGGCTAAGGGGCAGGTGACTGAAATGTATCATCATGGAAAAATATCTAAGGGACAGGTAATGGGAACATCTCACCATTGGAAATTGTTGCTGAGTAGCAGGTGATGGGGACTTCATATCATGAGTGCATAAAGCACTTGAAGACTAATTCGGTTGGTTTTAAGGGAGTGGCTTATCCATGAGCTCCTTCAAGGAATCATTAAGGGTAAAGTTTATTTCCATCAACCATATCTAAGAGGAGGCTAGCTCCCGGAATGACACTATGTCCATATGCAGGAACCTATTTCTTTAGGATGTTGTTGGGTGTGTTTACTTGATAAAAGGACTATAACTGTGACTGGACTGCTATAAAGATAATATGACATACATATCCTCAGTGAGACAACCATCTTCAGCATGGCATGTCATACAATAAATGCCATCTAGTAGCAAAGGGATATTGGTAATGTAACCTACTGTGAAAATGATACTGGGCCAAAGTACTTGATATTGACTACAGTACTGCTATTGCAGGTTGTATCGCCAGTAATCCATACTTGAATTTTTGCAATGTGCACCTGAAGTCTCTGCCACATGCAAGACAAGTTGGCCACTCCTACTATGGCAATGGATTGGTATCCGCCATAGGCTGGTGTCAATCATCTCTTTAAGGAGCTTTTGTGTGTGGGGGTGAGTGCCCACAGGTATGGCTGGTGTGCTGGAGATCGCCGGGGAGAGCCAGGGCGGCTCACCCGTCGGCTAAGGCCTGGGTAGGCCTAGTTGCTGATTGCTGTGTCTTGCTCAGGTGGAGGATCGTGAGTGCTGAACTCGGCCCGGGTGCGGAAGCTTAAGTGGGTCTGAGGTGTGCCAGCCACCCGGGAATGAGGGGAGCCTGCGGTCCAATGGGCAAGCCGTGAGGTGTCCGTGGTCAACCAATCAGGTCTCGGTATGCGTCGTCGAGAAGCTGCTGATGGTGAGGGCAAGAGGACAGGCTGTGGACCTGGACCCAACCTGGGGGAAGTATGCTGCGCTGCAGGTTGCGGGGGTCGGCTACAGGTACTCCCCCTCCAGTGAGGGAGCTAAGCAAGCGAGCGATAACCGTGATACTCCAGAAGGCTGGGTATTTGTGTCACTAGTATGGCAATGGATTTGTATCCGCCATAGACTAGTGTCAATCATCTCTTTAAGGAGCTTTTGTGTGTGGGGGTGTGCTGGAGATCGCCAGGGAGAGCCGGGGCGGCTCACCCGTCGGCTAAGGCCTTGGTAGGCCTAGTAGCTGCTTGCTGTGTCTTGCTCTGCTGGAGGATGAGTGCAGGAACTTAAGTGGGTCTGAGCTGTGCCAGCCACCCGGGAACGAGGGGAGCCTGCGGTCCAATGGGCGAGCTGTGAGGTGTCCGTGGTCAACCAATCAGGTCTCGGTATGCGTCGTCGAGAAGCTGCTGATGGCGAGGGCAAGAGGACAGGCTGTGGACCTGGACCCAACCTGGGGGAAGTATGCTGCGCTGCAGGTTGCGGGGGTCGGCTTCACTACAGTTAGGTATTTTCTAACAAACATTACATACATGCAACATCAAACATGAACTGGACTACCTTCAACCAAAAATCACCAAAAGATTATGCACACAAAAGATACAATTAATATTTTTATAAAGAAGTGGGTTGATGAACAGCTGTATTAGTTTCAATAATGATAAGCTGCACATAAATATAAAATGGTCATAGCCACAGATTTCCTACAAACAAAACTTTACAGTTTAGAGACAATTCATCAGCACTGATTAGCCAAAATGACATGAAAGTAAGATTTAACATACAGTAATGGTACACTCCCTTTTCCATTATTTGTATAAGGGGATAAAATATACCACCGAGAGTTGGTTGAATCAAAGTAAAATTGAACATAGAATGTACTTTTAAACAGTTTTGATAATTTTCTAGAATACCTTCATATAACTGATAGCAATGATATTGGTAATGATGGATTCCTCTCACTCTCTACTATCTAAATATACCAAATTAGGTAATTGTTATTGAGAGTGATGCACTATCCAGAGACTAAGTCCTAAAACCAGGGTATCATGCAAACCCAAATGGCAAATCTAACCTTTCTTCTGTTTATTCCCTAGACAGAGGGGCAAATCCTCCTGTACCACCCCATTTATTAGCATTTCATGACCATCTATAGAAAACGGACATTAAGAAATCTGGTTAAGTGAGGGTGTTGTAGACTTATTCCCTGAATGGTACTATGCAGCGGCCATTTTTGTCATTTACAAGTAAATGTGAAGCAGCTGCAGATTAAACTACTTTGTTTCTTATTCTATTTTGGTAAATTTCTCTAATACGTCACTATAACGGATCATGATTACTTTATTATCGCTGGAGTCCTTTCACCCTCTAGTTTCCAAATAAACAGAAATTCTTGGCCCCGACAGGAGGGATGGGCATGAAACGTACCAAGAAAATTGTTGGATAAAATGTAAATAATATATACAGAATACATCACTATATTGTCTAACACAGGAGGGTGTGCCCTCTGCAACCTCCTCATGGGAGGGTTGATGCCCCCAAGCCCAGCCCAGGAAAACAAAGAATCCTCCACATATTCATGACTGCCATGCAGGAGCGGTGTTGCCAAGTCCGTCTGACACTCTCTCCTGCCATGAATACATGGAGAATTATTACATTGACTGATTCTGTGTATAATATTTACATTTTACCCTGCATTTCCCTAATACCTTTCATGCCCTCCCCTGCAATCAGAGCCAAGAATGTGGGGGTTGAAGGGGCTTCTGTGCAATAAAGCCTACATATTTGCATTGTAGACGGTGAGAGGAGTCCAACAATACCAAAATCTTTGCGATCTGTTATGCAGACGTAAAACAAAAAATTACCTCTATTTCTTAAACTTTATAAGATAGCATTGGCCATTTCCCTTTATCTTTGCGTGTTGCTCTCAGTAACCTATACCCAAAATTATACCGCAGAAATACCCCCCCCTCCACTCCCATTAACAACACTCTCAGCACTGATAGCAGGGGAGGACACAAAAGGTACCAGGAGTAGGGTAGATAAATAACAGACTCCGTTTTTAACTCTCGCGCGGTGGGGCGCTGTTGCTGTAGCCCAACATATTGTACATCACCCCCAAAGATATTAGTGTACTCTTTGACACAAACTATCTGACTAGTAAAAAAAGAACATAATATGAAATTTATGTACCTCAGTCACTTAGAAACAACACAAAATCAAAATGATACAATTTCTTCCCCTGTGATACTGACACATTATACAGAGTCAGGGGGCACAAAAAGAAGAGAGCACAAATACATATATTATGTGGGCGTGTCTGTGACAAAGTCAGAGATCCACCCAGGTCATGTGATTTGTCTCCTTGGCTGTCTCACTGGTTCTGGTGTTGGATGTGGGGTTGTCATGGTAACCCAAACAGGCCATAAGTGCCTCCGATTATAAATCGAGATACAACCACTGCCATCTAGCTTGATGGAGTATTGACAGTGCAGAAGGGCCTCTGTAACCACATCCCGTCTGTCCCAAATGTTTGTGGCTTGGTTTTGCACACACACTGGTGTACCAGGTGTCAGGGGGATGAGGGTCCTTGGTGTCCCATGCTGCTCCACTATGTTCCTGTGTTGTCGGGCTGTTGCTAATTCTCATGCACGTAGAGCCCGCTGCCAATGCATGTCTACCTTGTAATAATGCCTGTGCACCGGTATTCCGTCTCGCAGCTAACATCACATGGCTAGTTGTGCAGGTGATTTATTCACCTCCCAAAGGGGTTTATTCAGGTACTGCCACAGACCTTTCTAGAACTTGTCTGAATCCAGACTGCCTCCAGCCCCCATGTTCGCACATAGCAGTTTCTTGCCCAACTTGACCACTGCCTCGGCCCGGCCATTTGATTGTGCATACTGAGCAGAGGATGTTCTCACTACAACGCCCCACTTGTTCATGAACATGCACACTTCATCACTAGTTAGGTTGGTGCCATCATCAGTTGATATGCCCTCTGGGACGCCCCATTGTGCAAAGTACTGGTGGAACAAGGCCATTATCCTACTCACTGCGCCATTTAGGGTAGATAAAGAACAGACTGCAGTGAACTTGCTTCCTTTACTTAGTCTTTGTTTACCCTCCTGCCGTTTTTAAGTCTTGCGCAGAGGAGCGCTGTTGCCGTAGCCCAACATATCGTATACCAGGGAAATGGCGGGGTAAAATATGATACCACCCCCTAACCTCCACTATGGACGACAAAGAATCCTCCACATATTCACATCAGGGTAGAGCATATGACTGACATGCAGGAGGGCCCAATGCTGAGTGTGTCAATGCTCTATCCTGCTGTGAATACATAAAGGATTCTTTGTTTTCCTGGGTGGAGGTTGCAGGAGGCACAGCCCCCTGAGTTTGATAATAGAGCAAGTGATTCTGTATATATTATTCATATTTTGATAATTTTTTTCTAATATGTCTGCATAACGGATCATGATGATTTAGGTATCCCTGGTTTCTTCTCACTGTCTAGTTTCCAAATATACACAAATTACTTCATGAAAACCCCCCAATCCCCCACATTCTTGGCCCCAATGGCATGAGAGGGCATGAAAGGTACTGGGGAAATATAAATAATTTCCACAAAACACTCACTATATTGTTGTGAACTTCAACCGCAAATATTATAAAATTATTGGACAAGCAAGTGTCTCAGAGCACGTTATCAATATGTACAAGTATCTACATATAGTATCACAAATATTCGCGAATTTCCATACACAAAACTTCAAAACTTACCTAAGCCAAGGACGCGGTTATCTATGATGCTTTTCCTCAACGGCATAAATGCCACATGTCATCAGTTGCAGCTAGATATAAGAGATTTATTAGAATCAGAAATCACCAAAGTTTCTTCCCAAGGCTTCCAAAATGACGTTACTGTTGACATAAAGTCCTTCGCATTGTCGTTCGAATCTGTTTGTTTACATTTTCCCCGCGCTATTTTCCTGAACGAGTACATCTTTCAAAAAGACAAACTTTCAGGATGTTGATTACTCAAAATGAAGAAAAATAAATTTTCCTCTTTTACGAAGATATCATACAGCGTATATTTCTTTCAATTTAAGACGGAAATGCCACTGATACAGCGTGTCTTACATTTTATCGCTCTGTAATATTTAGTGTTTGCCTTGTACATACAGCTGTATTATGATAAAAATATACCAAATTTAAGATATTTCACTATAATTTTGCTCTTCACTTATTTGATATGTTCGTAATAATTGTGATCAAAACTTACTGAAGATACAGTACCGTAATGGCGCTCTACTTGCCGCATCGTCTGCACGGTTTGCGTAGGTAAATATATTACGATTCTCAATTGAGATTGAGATTGAGGTAAAGAACTAGGAATTGCTTTACAGACTTCTTCGCGATGTAAAATTACT